AAAAAAAAAAAAAAAAAAAAAAAAAAAAGAATTTAATGATTTCTGAATGTACTTTTCTTGAAATACTTTCTGTGGTTTTAATTAGAAAATGACACTGATTGCTGTCTCATGCATTATCAGTTTCAGTTTTAAAACTGTGCTTCCCTTCCATGTGTGTCTACCACTGTTTCATGTGATGACGTTTCATGTTTTACTGGTCCCAGCTGAAGCTTGAGCTGAACCCAATCCTGACTGATAGCAGAACAGTACATCATCTCGAAGATGTAAATGTGTAGCATTACAACAGAGGGGAGGCAACAGAGTATTCAATTTATAGAAAGACATATTCAACCTTTACATGAGTATCTTCAATATTTAATTTTATGCTTTATGCAATAGGATCAGGGTTGTCACAACAGAAAATCATCTTTAAAGGCTCGTGCAGTCAGATCTTCTGTGAGTTGGAAAAGAATTTGACAATTCCTGAATCATCCAAAGATAATAATCAAATCTAACATGGCTTTCTATTTTCCCTTTTTCCTTCACACTAAACATACCTAACTAGCGTTACCTCTCCTTTGAGGTTTCACTTTCCAATTCATTTACTCCTTACTGTTACTCAGCTTTAAACTGCCTCTAGTTTATCCGTGCCTTTTCTGACATAGTGTTAGGAATTGAAAGCAGCATTTTGCTGTAAGCTCAGGGCATTTCAATCTTGTTAAACCATTTTCAGCCTGATTTTAGTACTTTTCATCCACCTCTTTCAGCAATTGCGTGGCTTTGCAAACACGTGAAAATTATTGGGCTGCTAACCAGCGAGGTATGCTTAAAAACCTTAAGTTGTACTTTCTGTTCTTTGTGCACTGGTAGGGGTGAATTACATGATAAGCTATAAGGGCCACACAGCATTAACAGGTATTAGGTAAGCAGGTGCCATGATGCTGAATGCAATTCTACTTGTTATGACAGAGTAATTTTTTATAACATGCAAACCTGTGGCACAGTTTCTTGGGGTTTTTGTGTGGGTTTTTTTTTTTTTTTTTTTTTTTTGGTTGTTGTTGTTGTTGTTTCTTTGTTTTGTTTTCAACATATATATAAGCCTGTAAAAATGTATAAATGGTTCGTTCACTGACCAGGCCAATACCAACAGGCAAAATAACTTCATTTGAATGTATTAGCAAAATGGAACAAGAGCAAAAAATTGGTTATCATCTGGCATTTAAGAGTGTTAAGACCAACAGTACTTACTAGAATTATAGAATCACCTGTGTTGAAAGGGAACCACAAGAATCAGAGTTCCCCTGAGTATACGCAGGGCAACCTAAGACTTAAACCATTTATCTAAGAAAGCTGTCAAAATATTTCCTGAATACCAATAAGCTTGGGGCCCACTTCTCAGGGGATACTTGTTCCACTGCCTAACCCTTTCTTAAAAGTGAAAAACTTTTTCTTAATATCCAATCTGAACTTCCCCTGGTGATTTTTGAACCATTCCACCATATCACAGGTCATCAGAGAGAAGAAATCAGCACCTCTCTCTCCACTCTCCCACGAAGAAGTTGTAGACAGCAATAAAATCAAGAGTTGGTCTAATTACTTACCCTAAAAATTGACAAACTGCATCAGAACTTGAGTTGGCCTTCAGAGCCTGTTTAAGAGTACATTTGTACATCAAACTGAGCCTTTCAAAATCATTAGTTTCTTCTGTAGTCAAGATCATAAATTGGAGAAAGCTTTGCTGTAGCAGTGAATTATTTTATGTGCAGCAATTTTTTGTGTGTGTTTTTGTAATAGCCAATTATCTGCTATAATAGTATTTCTGAAGGTCATATCAATTTCAGAGTGGAAATAGTGCAGTTATTCATTCACAAAACATTCTCTCTACTATTTTAAAAACAAAAGATGAGGTAGCATAGTCTGATTTACTGTCACTTACTTATAGTCTGCATATTTTTGTAACATAACTGCAACATTATTTTGCTGCCTGTTACTGTTTCCTCTGAATTCACCTGCAGAGTGATATATGTTTAGCCATAAGACTGACAAACAGATCAGCACAGTATCTTGTCACCAAAACAAGTTGTGCAATGGGGGCAGAAGACAGGTGCTATGTCAAAGCAGAAATTACAGAATTGCTTCTTCATCTGAGATTCAAAATGATCAGATTGCTTATCCCGAAACAATCTTTCTTATTTTAGAAATTCAGCACACTAAAACTTAGCATTGTAACAATTTTTTTTTGTTTGATAGCACTAGTTTCCACTTTTAGATCTGCTGCCTTTACCCCTCAAGGGCAGTTTTCACTCAGGTAAGACAGTTAAACTAGGGGAGAAATGCAGCTGGACAGCTGCCTGAGATGCTGAATCTCACTGACTAGTTACAAAAGAGAAACATTAACACTTTTCCTCCCCACTCCATTATCAAAGAACCATAGAATCATGGAATATGACAGACTATGTCTACTGGTAGTGTATTGAATCAAGTACACCAAAGCTTTTACTGTACAGCAGTTACAGGGATCAAAATTATCAGGCTAACATGAACTGTGAGCATTACTTCACCAGCATTACATCAAAGAAAACAGGAATGTGCATATATTAACTGAATATATATATGTAAATTGAAATAATGTTTCCTGGCAGCAGAAAGGCAGTTCTAAAGATGGATATATATGTTACACTAAATGCTGTAGGTAAAAGAAAATATACAATCCATTTACAGGCTGCTAGATCAGACGAACAGCAGAAGAAGTATATGCATATTGCGTGCATAACATACTCATAAACATGGACTGGTACAGCAATTACTTAACAAACATATAAACAGGTGCACACACTGTTTCAGGCACACTACACCAACTTATGGGCTCATTATGTGCCCAGCACAATCAGCAGTGCACCTTAAAAAAGTCACAGAGACCTGGCCCCTGCCACATATATCAGAAATTAACATTTTACATCCTCTGCTATAAGTGTCTAATTATAGGTTAACTTCAAGCCCTCAAAGTACTTCCACATCACTGCATCTAGTGCTCCATTATTGCAAAGAAACATACCATAATCTCTTTTACTAATTCAATAAACTTTGGAGTTGTAACTCCAAAGCATCAGTGGTGTTGCTACAATTTGGGAGGGTGTTCGAGAACCTCAGTTTCCTAACAGCTAGATACTATCTTCTGGATTACATCTGAAGTGTCCCAATGGACAGTTAATATGCCTTTGGTTTTGCAGCAGCGTTGTCCGTTAGCAAAGATACTCACTTATGATGATAGAAGACCATCTTCTTGTTGTATTTATAGCCTGGCAATATCCTGGCTTCAATTTCCTAGAGTAAACAAGCCAAATTATCATACTCTTCACTTTTTAAATAGGCTCTCTACTTCTCTGATCATCCTAATAACCTTTTCTGCATTTATTCTGAGTTCAGACTCAGAGCTAAGCAATCAGACATACAAAAGCTTTCCACACACATCGCAGCTGTGCCTTGTATAGTGATATTGATACTTTCCTAATTTCTATTTTTCTGAATATGAAAAACATATATTAGTTGTGATTAAATACTGAGGCAGTAGCATTCTGTACGTAGCATAGGTTTGCTGATTGTTCTTTTTTTTTTTTTCAAAAGAGGCTGTCATGCCAGCTGCAATTCAGATGGCTGCAATAAGCATGCTTTCTATTCAGTACACATTTGAGAGTTTTCAAGCTCTTTCCTGGACTAATTGTTCCTCATGTCTGAACTAAAACTGCGTTAATACTTACCTTAGAAATGTGCCAGAAATTGCTCTTAAGTAATACTTCCTTTTTTTTTTTTTTTTTTTTTTTCTCCTGTTTCACTTGTTTGAGGAGGTTCTTACCAAAATTGTCAAACTCGAGATTTGTTTGTTCTTGAAGTAAAACAGTTCCTTCCCAAGGTGCCGACCAGTTACACTGAGCTGAATTCAGTACTAGTTTTGAATGCTTACC